TGTACCAGTTCGAAATGTGTTAGCAAAAAATATGATAAGGTGTTTAGTCATGAATGTGTTAAAAGTTCAAGCTCACATATATAGTAATGTAGTAAACCAATGTACTCTGCATAAGACATTACACTACTCATATTAGGTTTAAGGTTTGACTCACATTTACTAATAATGTAATAAAACAATGTACTCAATATTAGACATTACACTACTTATATCAGATTAACATTTTTCATCATGTTCACTTTTTAAAATCGCCAACAATACTTTGTAGGAGAGGAACAACAATACTAAACATTTTGTCTCTATTTCAAGAGTTGTGTAATTATTAATACCTGTTTAAGGACAGTAACTGCTGTTGAGCCACTACATTTGATATCAATTGTTGTTTGGCCTTCAAGATCTTCATCCATCTCCTTAAACGAATCGAGAAAAACTGATTTCCATCGGACAAGAAAAGGGTTTGGGGGATCATCACCATCATCCTTCTCATCTAAATCTTCACTACTTGTGTCATCATCAGCCACCTCAAAGCTCACGGTTGATATAACCCGAGATGACGACTGGGAAAGTTTTGATGGCAAAATGTCGCGTACATAACGTGAGACTTTGTGGCCGGAGGGGCCATGGCCATCAAAAACACCGCAGAAGTACGTACCTTTTTGTCCTGTAAAGTTCTGATAAACATATAGAGTTTTGAAACATCTGTCTCATGGGGGGTAATGGGTGTGTGTGTGTATAATACTTCGTATTAAACAATTATATTTGTTGAGCTAGTCTTTTTATAGAAACGCATAATCAATCTTTTATCTTTGAATCTCAAATCTTAAATATAGCACGATAATAATACATCTCCACCCCCTTCATCAATTTGCTCAAATTCATGATATTTTACAAAAAAGCATAAATATTAAATGGAAGATGTGAATGGAAAATGTACCTCCCAAACAGTCATGGAATCTTGGTTGATACCCTTTCTACCTTGTCGAGAATACATGGAGATAAAACTAGAAGACCCATGAAGCCTAATGCGTGCACCATAATCTCCTCTTCCCGCAACCCCTTCATAGATATCATCTTCTTCCCCATTATTTCTCTGCAAATGCTCTGCATTTTCCTCAACAAGGTTTCCGGCAACGTCATACCTCTCAATCACCCCTCTTTGGCAGGAAACACATGTACCCATGTTGTAATCGATCAGGCCAGGATTTAATTCCGGCCCGGCCTCTTCTAGCTATCAAATTAACTATGGAAGAAGGATATTCGATCCTAGGAACGAAACCTAGGATGAAAGCTAAGAAAGGATTGATTGTTTTTTAATAACATGTTTAATGATAACTAGGGAGGCGTGGGGGGAGGCAATTCATGAATGTTCTCTCATAATAACGGGAGGATAACATTCATGATTTGGCGGGATAATAAAAAGATCAAACTCAAAGAATATGTTTCAGGTGTAATAATTCATTTTATCTTTGTTCTATTTTTATTGTGCGTCTCTCGTAAAATATTGTTTGTACGCTAATGTTGGGAATTAGGATCCATTTGCTTACATAGTTTGACTCTTACTAAGGAGTGAAAATAAGATCAGAGGTTTTTTAATTTCTTAATATGATGCCTTGAAAGAAACTAATTCATAACCATTGGATATTTCCTAAGCAATAAGATAGAAAATATCACTAACAAATGAATAAATTAATTGAATAGACACCTTTTAGTAAATAATTTCTCTAGTGGCATCAATTTTAATAACTTCAATCATTAACATTTAATAATTACATAAATAAATTTGTAAACACATAATCTATCATAAATTTTTTCCTTCCTCAAGCACATTCGAAAAAATAAAATGAAAAGAGATAATATGAATTCCTCTTGGCCGCAACAATCCACAAGTCACTCAACCTATTTTACTTGAAGAAATAAATTTGCTCTAATCAGTCTCTCCCTGCCAATATTTATTCAAGAGATCTAAAACTAAACAAACTTAGCCACAACTATCCCAATATTTCTGGTGTTGTGACAATCAGACATCAACTATTCCAACAACTAAAAATCCAACAAGCATGTCCCTAAGTTACTGCCTCCTCCCCGTTTTCTGGACCGGGATTGCTTGTAATCCATTATGTCTGATCCAATCTCCTCCTCTTCTACTCCTTCCTCATATTCTCCTCCCTTTTCCGGTCCCCTTACATCACTCATTTCCCTCTTTGCCTCGCCTACCATTACCTTACACTACTCTCATTTCCCATCAACTTTCTCTCCCTTCATGCTCTCTTTGGTCCTACCATCCCCTCTCCATCTTGATTACCCCTCAAGCACCACATCGCCCCTTTCCGACATAAACTATTTTTGCCCACTCCTATCTCGTCTCCTTTCACTTGGAGCTCTCAACACATAACCATAATTCATTCTGTCTCCCATAGTATCCACCATCCATGAGGGCAAAACTTATCCCCACGCAGAGCACCACACAAACAAGATAGAAATTTGGACAACCAATTGGTTGGGCATGTTTAAATCTGCCCAACCAGTTGCTTCCTTTCTTGAGCAGTTTCATACGCCTCTTCAAAGATATCCAGCATCCAAGGACACCCAGAGTATATGCTTTCGAAGTAACCCCCCCCCCCCCATTGATGCTCAATGATGCGAATAAAGCTGTCAATAAGTTCTCCTATTTCTTTGGCTATATATCCTGGCTGTCATAAATTTCACTTGGAATTTATGAACTTGGACATACAAATCTGCACAAAGTAGCTAGACTTTGAGGAGTAAGTTTTCAACTCATAGGCGGAGTAAAAATAGCAAATTATGATGAAACAAGCACATGTCATCTACAAAATACCACATACACTGCAACTCAACTTCATGATAAGATTTAACTAAATATCTCTTGGAGCTGATATCAGAGATCGTTAAGCCATTCGCTAGTCTCCACCGCCATGGTGTCCCGGAAAATTAGAAACTTTATTACCATTTTAGTAACGGTAGCTCCCACAACTGATAGACGCCATTCAATCGCCGCCCCATCGCTCCCCACCTTCGGCCTTCCTCACCCCAAAACGATCCCGTCATCTTCTTATTCAATCGATAATATCTAGTAAACTCCCTCAATTCTTGCCCTACTTTGTGGTTTCTTCCTCCCCAATAAACTCGAGGTCAAAAAGGAAAAGGGGAAGACCCTCGCCCGTGATGACAAGAAACTAGGCATGGCAATGGGTCGGGGCGGGTACTGCAAGACACGTCCCGTGACTTCACTAGGTGGACCCGCCCCATCCCGTGACCCTCACGGGTCCTAAATTGTTTACTCATGAACCGCCCCATGCGGGGCGAGCCCCCCCGTAACCTAATTAACTACTATGCATTTCTATTTGTGTGAAAATGTTATCACTTGAATCTACACAAAGTTTATCTTTAAATAATTAGTTAATAATAATATATTAAATCAAAGTCAAAATACAATAAAATTTTCAGAAATTAAGAATGAAGTACTTAGACTTGAATGGTTAATCTATTTATATTAATAGTACAATATATAAATTAAAATGCTATATATATATATATATATAAAAGACATTAATAATTCATCGTTCATCTCCTTCAAATATATAAGTATTAATATATTATAAGACCAAAGAAATTATGATTTATTATATACACACATATGTATATAGAAAGAAGTATATTTGTAGTATAATTAAAAAAAAGTAATATACTTATATATTGAGCGAAGCGGGGCAGGCCGGGGTGGCACGGGTCAATACTAATACCTGGACCCGCCTCATTGTATGGACGGGGTGGGGCGGACCCGCCCCAAATGCTCTACCCAAATGTCTCGGACATTGACCGGACTAAATAGCCAGACAACTCTCGTTCGTAGATTGGAAGAGCTAAAGTAACTGTTCGTTGGGGCCTGATAGCACTAAGATGGAATAGAATAGGCCTGCTAATATGCCCAATCTCCTTGCTGCAATATGATGAGAGGCTCTTCCTCTCTCTCGGTACAGCTCATTTGAGGAGGCAAGATTTGCCTTTGAGAGGGCGCCGAGTTTGGGTACCTATTTATATAGATAGACAACCCACTTTGGTGTGATTCTCCCACCGTTCAGAGAAAGAGAGAGAGATTGGCCTATGTTAGGGTCTGCGTCGAAGTTATGCCGAATTCGGAGTTCCCAAAATAGGCTCTACTGATGAACAATGAAGGGATTCAAACTAGAAGTCCAGTTGAGTATGAATGGGTTTTGGTACTAGCTTTATGTGGTGTTGTCGGGCACAAACCCGAGCATTGTAAGGTTGCGAAGAAGAAAGCCAAGCAGGTTTGGGTCCAAAAGAGCTCTCAAAATATCTCCAATCCAAGAGTTCAAGTTCAGTTTCTGATAAACTTGTCGATGTGATCATTTGACGAAGGCAGTACTCTTCTAGTCTAGGAGGAAGAGAATCTAACAAGAAAGGTTACAGGTTTGATGTGCGAACATTCCATGCTCAATATACCGAGTCCAAAGCAAGGATCCCCTTCAGTAAGTAGGCCGCAACCCGCGCTCGATGTGCAAGGTCTAGCACAAGCGCTTCACACATTACCTTCAGGGGCTCTCCAAACGGGATACGTTCCACCGGGGCAACCCTCTTGCAAATAAGCCAAGTTTCACCTCCCAACCCACGCTGGGTTATGTTCCTCAACCTCAACCAGGGTCTTATCATCCTAACCTCTTCTTTCGCTTACTGCTTTAGAAATATCAAGACGAGTCCACTACTAGAGAACGTGCCCTTGTCTTTGGTGCTTAGTCTTCAAGTTCTTATTCAATGTGGATAGATAGGGAGACGGGCACTGCTAGGCGCTCATGCCTACTTTGAAAGAGGATAACTAAGCAAAGCAGGCAGATAATAGGAAAGAAAGCTTTGAAGCCTTCGCTCGATGAAAGTTCAAATCCAATTCGTGAGATGGCAATTATCTATAATAGGAAGAATTCTTCTACAGCTGATCCATAAGAATGGGGGCATTAGTCAATCAATGAAAAGGAATAAGTCGTTTGGCTTCCATTGACATTTGACAACATTCATCCACCTCAACAATGAAAAATAGAAGACAAAAAAATCAAGACAGTGGCTTAGAAATAATGTCTCAAATGGCCTCTTTACATCCAGTCCTCCACGAAACAAGAAAATATGTGAATTTACAATAGCATAGCAGTGTAGATTAAGAGAAGTTTCATCCACATATCACTCACCAACACAAAAAAATAAGATATCATCCAAGATCATACCCAAATAAGATTATACTGTAAAGATGGGAAGACCCTCTTGTTCGATGCTGTGAACAAAAAAAGGCAGGCAACACCGTCACTTTCCTTCTGCGGCCATCTTCTTGCGTATCTCAAAGGCAGTATTGAATATCCCAAGGGTGGGATGGTTGCACACAAAGCACTTCTTATTTTTCGCATGATGCTGAAAAACATAATACAGATGTGTTAATTATCTTAAGTTTATATGACATTAACTGATAATGCAAAAAAACCAGTAAAGTGTGACAAACTGAAGAGGCTAAAAGAAAAACAAAACTAAATGGCTAAAACGGAAGAGAATTTTGAGTCCTTAATGAACATCAGCATGAATTAGTATTTGTATTCAAAACCTATACTGGCTAGCTATTCACATATACTCCGTATTTGAGTATACTGTTGGCATTAAGTATCCCTAACGGGTAGCAATCAAATCTAATAATGTGATGTTGACTCACCTTTAATGCACAATGTTCACAGAAGTAGTGCTTGCACTTTGTCACAACGGGGTCGACAAAAGGTTGTCTGCAAATGAAACAGGCAAAGGGTAACGAATCATCTTCTCCATCATCACTCTTCTCTCCACTCTCTTCATCATCATCATCAAGCAATCCCATTTCCATTCTTTTCTTTCTGGCTTTCTCAGCTTCGTCCCACTCCTTTTCCAGCTGCCATCCTGGTTTATAATCACCTCGATCATGCATGAACTTACACGAATCCCCATATCCACAATACCCAGTTTCTTTATAATCTTTGCATATGTCTGGCTGATAGTCAAACCTCGCTGATACTCTGATGTGAGCAGAAGCTCTAAGAGGACCATGTGATCCGCCAGCTTTCTCACTTGAAATCGTGTGTTCTCTCCTGAAACCAGCCTTGTAATCGGTATATCCATGTATCCCTTGATACAACTTCTCATCACCGGTGTTCTTTTTGTTCCCTTTTAAGCCCTCCTCTGCTTGCTTAAGAACTCGCTCCCTAATTGCCCGGGCATCTCTTGAGAACTCAGTTTCAGTTTCCAGTGTAGCTGTTGCTCTGTTGTCATTCTGAACTTGAATCTCCCTTGAAGATTCGAAATGAAAAGTACGGGTTTTCACATCTACATCAGATTCTGAGGTGATATTCTGTTTTGATGGTCCAGTTGAAAAGTGCAGCTTGTTGTCAGCCAGTGCTGGCTTCTTCTTATTGAATACTATTGAAGTCTCAGCTTTTGAATCATCATCTTCATTCTCACCATCATCTGCTGCAGAACGTTTTCTGATGTTTTTGGACTTTGGTGGCTTTCTGAAGAAATTACATACTGAAAAGGTTTCAAGACAGGTAAGTAAATGTACAGTTCAATACCACAAACAGCTATGCTGCACTAAAATACATTTCATCCATTCACATACTCTATACATATAAAAGTCTTGCATGTTTTATAGGTTCTACCAAATTACACTAGAAGCACTACTAACCAGATAAAGAATAAGATAGTTCAACTTTGAATATGAATCAGTGATTTTACTTCCTAATTTGATCTTTATTAATAAAACAATATGAGAGAACAAGGTGAACCCTTAAATAGCTTGAGAATTACAGACAAATGGATCCATAGTGGTATTAAACGGGAACCTGTTGGTGGAGGGTCTCCAGGATTGACTTCGTCTGTTTCGTCGGCCATGGAAGGATTATGCTTCCTGCGAATTTTAAACATTCTTTCAGAAACGTTGCTGTTGGTCAACAATCACAACAGATCTAGCATTTCATTTGAGGGAGGCCAAAAATTTTAGCTTGAATTTCGGTTTGTACACTGCAATAAAAATTCTAGAGTAGTTTATAAATATTTAAGTTTTAATTATTACTACAAATTTTATAGTATCAGAACAAGATTAGTTTTATTATTAGTCAAACAGCGGAAAGAAAACTTTGGGACTAAGGGTAGTATTTTAGGAAAGATCAAGCTATCCTAGACATAAATAATGAATCAATATCCGGATGCAGTGTCATCAAAATATCAAATTTATATTCCAAATAACTTGTAGTAAAACTAAGCATAGAAAGAATAATATGGCGTTCTGCATAAGCTGAACTTGAGGAGTTTTGCTTTAGAAGTAAAAAAAACTCAAATATAAGTAATACTCTCTTGCTACTTAAAGACAGTAGAGAACTAGAAAAGTTCAGCAAGCAATTACAAATCTCTAAAGCCAGAAAAACAAAAATTCAAAACTACATATACTCATGCTTAATTTCAATAGATATCTTCACCGAAAGAAAGAGAGGGGTACACTAACAATATACTCCCTTCGGTTGTAAAACAAGTTCCGGTTTTGACTTCACACATATTAAGAAAATAAATTTGACTTTATTGTGGAGTGCACTGTTTGGCACTGTTTGACACTGTTTTGATGTAGATAATTTGCCAAATAAGGAAATATTTGAAAGTGGAACTTAATTTTGGTACTGCCCGAAAAGGAAAGGTGGAACTTGTTTCCGGGACGGAAGTAGTATTTACTAACAGAAAAAGAAAAAACACTCAATTCCTAACAATTAACTACATAAAAAAAGCTACTTAATGAAATCCTTTTATCTTTATATTTATATTTTTTTTTACTCCAGGAGGCGTCTGGGGGAGGGGGCTGGGGGAAGCCTGGAGTAATCAGGGCTGAAACTCACTCCATTGAGTTTCAAACCCTTGTGTGCCTAGCGGGATTCGAACTCGAGACCTCCCACTAGGCACGGTAACCTCGCAACCATCTTTATATATATATATATTCTTTTTATCCTTTTTATTCTATCATTTTTATGTATATCCATCTCTTTTTATATTATCTTTTTTATCATAACTTATCTTTTTGGTTACGGTATCATGTATCGATTCATGTTAGCCGACCCCAAAATCTTTTGGGACTAAGGCTTGGATGTAGTTGTTGTTGAATGAAATAATTTCCACAGTTCCTTCTGCGAATTGCGATTTAGTTGCTGTTTGCAAACTTTTTTAAAGCGAAAAGCGTCCAAAAGCGATGATCCTGGGCTTTGCTTCAAAGCGAAAGCGCTAAGCGAAGCGTAGCTTTCTCACAAAAAACGATACTTAAAAAATTAAAGAAAGTATAATATATAATGTATATTTTATGTCAAAAATGCACAAGTAGTCATAAACATCATTCAAAATAATACTAGTGCAGCATAAAGTTTCAAAACATTCATCACACAATTACACAAAAATACATAACTAATCATAAAAGTCGGAAGGGAAATGCTCCCATGCTGGATCCCCACTCTTAGATTGTGCTCTAGACATTTTTTTGTCTACAAATAGTGCATCAACAAGTGTAAATATTTACATATTTACAGTTTACAACATATTGTCTACCCTTTTTTACCAAATATTACTAATATACTATCTTAAGCTCATTAAAACACACACCGAAAAACACAAAATTAAAACAAATCAACCACAAAATTTAACGTGAAGAAGAGTATACAAGTGTCAAGAATCTAAAAAGACAGAGTATAGAACATTAAACAACACAAAATTAAAACAAATCAACCACAAAATTCAAAGAGTATAAACTGTAGGAATGCTTAAAGACAAAAATAGAAGTGAAAGAGTAAACAAATATCATTGTTGATCATTCTTATAGGAGGTATAGCTATTCGGATTACCATGCAAAAACCTCAGCAGTAAAAACGAAGACTACCTCAGCATATATAAACGAAGATTGAATAAAAGCTAAACGAAGACTACCTCAGCAAGATTCGATGGAGAAGGGATACTCTTCTGGTTGCCGAAGCTCCAGAGAAATCCTCTGGCACAGCTCTGGAGAAGTCCTCTGGCGCAGCTCTGGGCCTCTGGAGAAGTCCTATAGTTTGTCGCAGCTTTGGAGAAGACCGGAAGAAGTCTTCGAACGATTGGGAATAGAAGACTTCAAATGAATGGGACCTATTTGTCTATCTTAACCCTAGGTAAAGTAAAATTAAAAAAAGAAAGTCTTCGTTTTAGCGCTCGCTTGTAGACCGGTCGCCTTTTGTGAGAAGCCATGAAAAGCGCTCGCTTTAGCACTGCGTCGCCTCACGGAAACGCCACAGAAAGCGAAGCTTTCTCACAGGGCAGCGCCTTTGGAAAGCTTAGCGATAATCCATCGCTCGCCTACGCTTCTCGCTTTTTTACGAGTAAATTTCAGTGATAGGTAGCTAGCTAATTTCAGAGTAAATTCAAAAAAAGAAAGATGGAAGAAAGAATGAACAGTCTCAAGAAGGTTGATTAACAGAGAAGAGAGAGAAATACAATGGCAGTTAAAGAGTGCCAACTCCCCAAGTCCCAGTCCAAATGATAATTCTAACATCCTCCCAATTCTACCCACAGCCTCTATTTATACTACTATTCTAATGTTATTATTATTCTCATTGTTATTATGAGTGCTAATCTGCCCGAGTCCTATCACGGCTTGCTAGTCGGAAGTCAGCGTGAAGTGGATGGACACAGGGCGGCAGGAACAGTAGGCGGTGTAACCAGTAGTGAATCTAGCCCTTATGTTGTAGGTGTTCGAAACTAAATTAGTATCAAAGTAAATTGCAATAATTGTACAACTGAATGTTTGTCAATAAAAAAACTGAATCCATCCTAATCAGCATATTCATTAAGAACTTTCTCTATTACATTTTCCGTTGATTCGGATTAGTGTTTCTGAAAACCTGTTGATTTGCATTTTCCATTAATAATTATCCGTTGATTTGGATTTTCCATTGAATTTTACAAACCTGTTTAAATGAATTGTACTACTATTCATTAATAATTTCATGAATGGGGTAGAGTTTTCCTCAACAAATTATTCCTATTAACCCTACTACCCCTAGTGTGTATTATCCTGCTGCCAATAGTATTCATTAAAACCCTACTGAATATTATCCTACTGCGGAGAGTTGAAACATTCAAGCACAGTTAAGGTACTATACTATAATGGTAAGGAAAATTAACCATTAGGCAGCAATGGGAATTGGGATTTGGAAAATGCGTCTGCCAATATCAGTTTAGGTTTACAAAATTTAGGTTCTAAATTCGGAATGAGGGGGCTAACACTAACCAGGGGTGGAAGCGGTGAAGCCTTGGACTCTTGGAGGTATGGACTGGTGGAGGCGGTGCGTTGCAGGCTCCTGTGCCGCGATGGAGCCGTGGATTCTGCAAGCCGCGACTGCGGACTGCGACTCGGGCACTCCGCAAGTCTGAAACGCTGCGCCTGCGTCTCTGTGGGTTTGCGACAGACGATAAGGTCACAGAGTGAACAGAGAACGGGTGTTCAAAGGTGGGCGGCCGAAGGAAGAACTGAGGGAGGAGGACGAATGGAAGATCAATTAGAACTGTAAGAACACTGATATTCTAGCGAGACTGTCCTGAGCACTCTTCTACTCCGTAATAAAAAGAGGTAAGAGCAAAAGTTGCATAAATAAAAAGGGTAAAATAAGTCCTTACTGTCCGACCGTCGCCATTTGAGGCAGTTCCCGGTGGATTTTTTTGATGAAATGTTTTGAACATCTTATTCATTAAGTCTGGTTTACTCATACCAAATTTCAGCTAAAACTTCAATCGAGAAGACATCCAAATAAATTCTTGAAGATAAATGTGTTTTTAGTTGCGCAGTTGTCTTCAAGAATTCATTTGAATGCCTTCCCGGTTGAATTTTTAGCTGAAATTTTGTATGAGTAAACTAGACTTAATGAATAAGATGTTCAAAATATTTCGTCAAAAAATTCCACCGGGAACCGCCCCAAATGGCGACAGCCGGACAGAACCTCCTATATAAGGACTTATTTGACCTTTTTTATGCAACTTCAAGTATCAATTTGACCCTTACCTCGTAATAAAAACTACGCTATGCGGTAGTTTTCAGCTGGTCTCTCTAACGTCTAAAATCAATTGATTTTAGGAGTAAATAAATAAATTAGAGCATCAAAATCATTTCTTGTATTTTCACTCAAAAGCTCTAACTTCTGTTTCTCCTCCTGAAAGAACAAAAGCATTTTTAAGAATCAAACTCATACACCCTCTATGTTTCATCTCATATTTCTAAATACACACAACTCAAACTCGATTTGTTTGTGTATACATCCATTAAATTAACACGTTAGTATGTCTGAGTTAGCTACCAGTACTAATAGGTGACTTCCTAAAGGTCGGCGTCAGCACCCACCCCCTTTGTCGACTTTCCCTTGGTTGACGTCAATCCCCTGCGCGCAGGTTAAATTCCCCTTGATCGATGCACCCCGAAGGTCGACGCCCCCCGTAGGTCGACCTCCGAAGGCCGACTTTCCCTTTCTGGTCAACTTCCTAAAGGTCGTGGTGGATTACCCATTCTTACTCAGCATTCCGTTAGCCAACTCATTCATATTAATGTTTTATTCTAATGAGTGTCCTCAATTAACACTAAAAATCGATATTGTGTATTTAATGATGTCAAATGCAACATAGTGTACTCTTTACTTGACCTCATACAAGTTGACATATTCAACCGACCCTTTCCTCATTTGAGCAGATTAGGACTCCACGTATGAGGAATGACGTCATTTTCACTTTTTGAAAGTTGTCTAAAGAATGAAAATGTCGTAAATCCCCGAAGAATTAGAAGGGTGAATTGTGCATTCTTGTAATGAGGTCATGAGGAGTGAGGACACTAATCTCGTTCCTAATACTTGTACTCATAAATGATTGATGAATAGGCTTAATATTTCTAGTAAAATATGTAGAATCACGGTCTTTTGTCATTAATATATCAATTTTCTAAAAACAAAATAACATATTTAGTTACTAGATCCCGATGATTCATCATCTATCAGTGACTTGTCACTTTGAAATACAATTTGATACGTAATTAGTCATATTTTTTACGTAGAAAACTTCGTTAATAATATGCACGTCTTTTTTCTAGAATCATTCTTTGACTGTTCATCCCAAAACACAATTACTATGAATAGGATTTGATCGATCCTTTGTAAACTCATTCAGGAAAAATCATACTCTGTATGAAGTAGAAGAATATTCAAAACTCGTTATTAATATATTTATATCACAAATCTATTCTACATCTTCTTTATTCCACAATAAGTTATCAACATGAATTTGTTCAAAAATCTTCAAGAAAATGTTGGAAAAATGTGTTGAAATTGTATTAAATGGTAATTTTGGGGCAATTTTTTGAGTGGGGTCCACTTCCAATTTGGGTCGGGTCAAAGTGGTTTCGGATTGTCCTTGTTAAGGACTACAATTCGATATATGGTACGCTCAAAACGGATAACAGGTGAATGAGAAATTGATTCTCGAAGTTTACCCGTTAGAATGGAAAACTGGGAAAAATGATGAGTTTCTAGTGTGTTAATTTCCCACACCGAAAAACCCAAGGGATTTGCGACCCTTTATAAAGGGACTCCCCCCTTAAGGAGTTAAGATTCCTTAGGGTAAAAGCTCTCTCCATGCGCGCAGGGGGGTGCAAATCAAATCCCGAAATCGGAGAAGAAAAACTGCGACTCACGTGCGCGGGCGACTTGCGGTCACGAATGTCGTCCAAAAATCTATCTCTCAAGAAATACAGTTAATTTTTGTTTCCTTCCCGAAACGTTTATTTTTCCCCAGTGAGAGAAGTGCCTAGTGGCATAAATGCTCCGGACAGAAGGCCTCGACCAGAACACCTCGGTATGGTGTTCTGGTGGCGTCGGACAGAACCCCTCTTTGGAGTGTTCTGTTGGCTTCGGACAGAACCCCTTGTAGGGTGTTCTGTTGGCGGGTCTTCTGGTCCCGCAGCTGGACGTTCTGAACCGTTACAACAATAAATGTCCAACGTTCTTATCTTTTAATGCAGCGTTAAATGGACAGTTCATGGACGATTCAATGCCCAACGGACTGGTCATTGATGTCCAACGTTCAGGTCCATTAATTCACCATTTACATACAACAAATCCTCCTATATAATGGCTGGCAGGTGGTTTTCAACAACACGCGTTGATACACACGATCTTACACATTCCTCACGTGTTTCTGAACTCTAAAACACCTTTAGCATTCCGAAAATTTCCTAAGTGTTCATATTGTGTTCTCGTTCGCTGGAACTCTTGTTTGTGTGCTCAAACATTAGTTCGAAGTCATCGTATCTTGGGAAACGATTGTTGCAACGCTCCTACCACCGTGGGAGGCAGCAAATACGTTTTAAGGACATCATGCGTTGCACGAGCTTTGACTAATTTATGCTCCATCTTATTTCTGTTTTCTTTCGTCATTTTAATTAATTTTCTTTATTTTCCGAAACACACCCTACAAAAAATACCATTTACCGGAAGATATGGATTATTCGAGTGATACAGAATTATGTGTGTGATAGACAGTGCTAAGTCAAAACAATATCAGGTGTTATGAATCTCATTGAAGAGTCTGGAATAACATATATGATGCTACCTAATGGGACATAATTGATTTTTAATTGAACAAAAGTGACTTATATTAAAATAATCGAACATAAGCAGGATACAAAATGACAAAAAGTCTTGTCTGCCGTCGGTCCTTGAATCAGATTTAGAATCTATCACCTTCGTAGAACCAATTAGATTTGATGATCTTGTGATGGGCTTAATTGAGCTAATGACAGACAAACCAGACTTCTCATCACTTGTCCTAAGTTCTAGAGTTTTTTTTACCAAAAGAAAGAGATTGACCCGCTGCAGACGAGTGTTCCACACCACAGACATAAGAAAAATCATCTTACTGTTCTGGCTAATAAGGCTAAAACAAACAGAAAAATAACTAAAGCCAGAAGTTTGAAAGAAAAACTAAGAAGGAAAGAAACAAAAGTAAAAGCTTGACTTATTCAACTTCATCTTTCAGGACGAGCCTGTCACCCATAGCTCGCCCCAACTTCATTTTTTCCAACATCAAGTTCCAGCTCTACCATCGTAGTCCTCATAAGTCTCACCTCCTCTGTCATGTAGAACTTGTACTTAGCAGCCATCATCCCCCCTGCTCTGCCCTAGCACATATCTGAGATATCCCAACGTCAGAATGGACCGAAGCAGAAACAAATCGGAGCACATTCCTCTTGTCCCATCTGTCATCCGTCATGCCCACTGCCCAGCCTTCTCTGACGAAGCAGTTATACGGAGTACTTAGTAAGTGTGGTAGCGGACTGCCGCTAGATTGTTCTGAATGGATAATTTTAGAAGAGTTTTTTCTAATGCATTACTCAATTATAATTGATCCACAAAAATGTAATTTGAATTGTCATGTGCATGAAGTAAAAGTTGAATAGCAGCAGTCATTAAAAGTAACTAATATAGTCACACTCATATTTTTAGTCATCATCTTTACTTTGATCATACTTTAGAAATAATTACCAAACAAACCATTAAAAATTGTTGCACGGACTTCTATGAGACGGGATCACCCCACAAATTACTGAAGATTATATTATTGATTATTAATTAACTAATTGTTCTACATTTAATTATATATGATCCACTCAATTAGCACTGAGATTGCAAACTTGGATGGGTTGGGAGGGTTGCAACAGTGGAAAGAGCATTTCATGCGGGAGATAAGCTTGAAAATAAGGTGCCGTTTGGCAACACTTTTTTTCAACTTATCAGGCTTATCAGCCAACTTTTTCACCAAACACGTAATTCTTGCTTTCGCGCGCTGAATTGTGTAATAAGCAGAATAAGTAAGGTTGGAGTTACTTTTCTGGCTGTATTGGCTGAAGTTATTGTAGATGATCATTTTAGCTATTTTTACATATATTTTTTCTTTATTTTATTAATAAAATATATTTTTAAAATAATTTTTTCTTAAATCAGCAGAAACAGCCAATGCAGCCACTTCAGCTAGAACTTCATAAATTTCAGCAGAATCAGCCAAATCAGCCGATTTTCATGCTACCAAACGGGCTCTAAGTCTAGGCGAGTCGAAAACGGGGAAGAAGGGTCTTTGCACAAGGACATGGAGGTGGAGACGAGGACATCAAAAAATGGGAGGCGGGCTACAATGCCTGCGTGTCAGGCAATTGAAGTATGAGATGGAGGATTCAGGAGGGATGGAAGCAAGAGAACTCAATCATGAGCTTTTATTTTATTTGTTTTTTTATTTCTTTTATTTGTTTTTTATTTCACATACATGATTCAGTTTTTTGTTGCTTTTTTATTCTTGCATACAATTAAGGGGGATGGATATGTGGGTTGGCATTTTTTGAAAGGGTATTTTCTAGATGGAGACAATCATGCTGACTCAGTCATTAATAACCTCTTTGTTCTCATTGTTTCAGCGATTAGTCTCGCTCTTTTCGGGTGAACTGTTCTATGTTTGAGCATGACGTCAGGGGGCAATGGACTTTTGGTATTGTTTGGTTAGTGGGAGAGTTAGGTCTTGGGATATGAT